GACATGATCCTTTGTTTGTTTTATTGCTGAGCTACAAAAATGCGAGCTTGAATTAAAAGTTTTAATTAAATTCAGATTTATTTAAATGTTCATTGTGTTATAAATGGAACATTGTAATAAGTTAATTATAAAATGTAGCCTAAAACAATTAATGTAGCTGTAAATTACCCACGGCAGCTTTGACATACAGTTTGATATATTTAGCTTTGGCCCACAGCCCTCAGTTTGTTTTTGGCCCCTCATAGAAAACAGTTTGGGCACTGCTGGTATAAATCAAAACGTACTCTTTTGCAAAAGTATAAACTTTAATTCATTTTACAAAAACGATTCATCAATTCCCTTTTCAAGTGAATGCATCTTTCATTTAAGAGTTTTATTTGTGCTGGAAAACAAGACTAAAGGCATAAAAGCGGATCCTATTTTTTTGCAGTGAATTAGGAAGGGTTGCCATTATTAAGACATCGAGGTGTTGGACTCTAGTATAAAAACGGCTGCGTGTTTCATCTCTGGAATGATATTTAGTGTGTGTGTGCTTGATGAAAACAAAGACAATCTACAGCCATCTGTGCACTACTGCTAAAGGAAGACGAGCGGACGGGAAGGTCAATACTGTGTGTGTGTGCCAGACATACAAAAGAGCAGACCACGTCTTACAAACAGCTAAAAATACAATTTGGCAAACAGACCACCAGGGGGCGGTGTAGAAAAATCAAAGTCCGATTGATCGCTTGTAAAACCGTATGAAAGTCACATCTGAAAGTGGAATATCAGACCTCAAGTTTATATTTTGACCCACTGGCGATTGGTAAAACAGTATAAATACACACGTTTTGGTTCGTCTCACTCATTTAAACGCTACAGAAACTGAGCTGAGGTGAAACTGCTGATGAGAAACCAATTAAGATGCTGCATAGACCAGACTAAATCAACCATCCCACATCAACAAAAACACCGCAGGAGTGTATAGTGAAGTGTACACTACAATTGAAGCACACCATAGTAAAGTGTGTTAATGAATGTAAATATAGTAAACTGAAAATCTGTCATAAACATTGTAGTATACTGTGGTTTTACTACAGTAAAACTGTGGTGTATTGTAGGATAATATACACTACAGCTGTAGAATACTAGAGCATTGGGTCATTTGTTTATATTATTATTGTTCTTGTGATACCATAGCAACTGTAGAATTACATGACAGATCAATCATTGAAGTTGTTGTGTTACCATAGCAACAGTAGAACTACACAAAAGATCAATCACTGTGGTTGTTGTGTTACCGTAGCAACTGCAGAACTACACAACAGATCAATCACTGAAGTTTTTGTGTTACTATAGCAACTGTAGAATCACCACAGCAGATTACTTGTAGTGGTTTCTGACAGCGTAGTTCATTAACATTACAGTATTTACTATAATTGACTGTAGTATTTTGTTCATGTGGGATGTAAAAGTTCCCTCGTTAAATCCAGAGCACTTTAAACAGACATAACAACATTGAAATGGACAAGACTTTTTTTTTCTCTTCACTTTTCGCTTTTCTTCAAAAAATAATGGGAAGCCCTCAGTCGTTTCTGCTAATAGACGCCTCTGACCAGCCTTTTGATTCAGCCTCGCAAATATACATTTGTACATTTTTTGGTATGCATGTCATCTGAAAAGGACTATTTATATACCTTAACTATTTACAGACCGACGGACCTCACAGAAATATCTTCATCCAATGCTCATGGAAAGAGTCTGACCCTAAACCCAAAGTGCAGAGAGAAAAGCTAATGAACATAAATCATTAGATCCTGTCATAATTCACTCTTAAATCATCAAAACCACTACATGTGAAAGAGAAAATATGCATATTATATTCATTTAAAACTGTGTTTCTCAACCAGTTTCCTAGAGGAGCACCAGATCTGCACATTTTACATGTCTCCTTAATTAAGCACACCTCATTCAGATCATCAGCAGAGACTGAAAGACCTGTAATGGGTTTGACAGACTATCACAATCACCAGCGCTGGTGAACACACTGATCACATAGGACTACAAATCTGCTGTATATGTGTGTGTGTGTAATCAGTCCATGAGCAGCATCAGCTGTGGGAGTGTAATCAGTGGAGACTTGGAGCAGGTGTGTGTGTGTGTTGCATGACTGGACCATGTAGTCCATATAAGAGCAGATTTGTAGTCGTTTGTGATCAGTGTGTTTACCAGCGATCTGTAAGGATTAGATCACTGGTGATTGTGACAGACGAAGGAGACATCCAAAACATGCAGTGTTGGTGATCTTCCAGGAACGTGGTTGAGAAACACTGATTTAAAATTACACATAATTAAATTAGGTTTAATTCAAAATTAACAATCATTTAAGAAACACATTTTTAATATCATTATTTTAAGAATTAATCAATAATAATTTTTAAACAATAATTAAATTTTAATAAATTAAACAACTTAATTAGTTTAATTTATTAAACAATAAATAAATAAATTAATCATCTAAATTCCATTTAAATGCAATAATGACAAAATTACACTCAAATTTACATATTTAAAATGTATATATACATATATTATCAATTAAATGATTGAGCTAATTTAATCATAATAAACAATATAACATTTAAATCAGATTTAAAATAATTCAACTGATTTAATTAATCATTTTTGAATAGTAATTAGGTATTATAAACTTAATAAATAATAAACTACATTTAAATTTAACATGAAATTGTAAAATTTTTATATAATTTTCATATTATTAATCACATAAGCTATTTTATAATAATAATAATAATAATAAACAACATTGATTTCAAATTAAATATGTATTACAGTAATCAAAATCTCTTAATTATGTATAAAAATGATGTCGAAAGGAGCAAAAATTTTAGTTCTCATCATAAACAGATGCATGTTCATGTAAATCTATGATGTTGAGTTCATTATAAAACTACTACAAGTGATGATTCATTAAATTACAAATATATCTGCATCAGATCTATCACACTTCACTGGCTTTTCCCTCTGAACACAGCAAACAAAACAAGACAAAATGGCAGAGGACGAACTATGAATGTTGCTTTAGGCTTGTGAGTCTCTGACATGATTACGATGTGTTAAAACAGACGATACACAAACAAACGAACCGTCAGAAGACAAACAGCGAGAGGAAGATCCAGGTATGATTAAAGTCTTTTGCGGAAAACACTGTAGTCTGTAGTCGAGAAGGCTAAAAATCATTAGAAGACACAAAGGCAACGTCTCCAGACGCTGGATGGTGAGTGTGAAGGAGAAACACTGTAGAATGTGGTTGCATATATATTCGGTATTAAGGAGAGTCGTTAGAAAAAAGGACAGGTTTAAAAACAGCCGCTCAGACGGTGAGGAAAGCTTTAGTGTGTGTGTGTGTGTGTGTGTGTGTGAGTGTGTACAGTTGAAGTCAGAAATATTCATCCTCCCATGATTTTATTTTCCATTATTTCTCAAATGATGTTGAACAGATTCAGGAAATTTTCACAGTATTTCCTATAATGTTTTTTTCTTCTGCAGAAAGTCTTATATGTTTTATTTCGGCTAGAATAAAAGCAGTTCTTAATTTTTTAAACCCATTTTAAGGTCAATATTATTAGCCCCTTTAAGCATTCATTTTATCGACTGTCTGCAGAACAAATCACTGTTATCCAATGAGTACGTTTACATGAGAACTCAATAACGAAAGCGTTGTTTACTATAAATGTACCACAATCATGTTGCACTGCTTGCTTCAACCTTAAATACCTCTTTTGCACAATTTCCCGCACAACATTGTTCAGTCTAAGATCTAAGTTTGAAAGAATTCGTTTCGCTAGGGCAGATGCTTCTGTGGCCTCTTTCTTGCTCCTCTTTTTAAGAGCTGAAAGTAGAGTGCTTATCATTCATGGACAATTTTACTGTTACTTTTCAATGTTTTAAGTTTGATCAAGTAAGACTTGATGTATGTTATTTACTCTATATGGTGCATGTTTGGATGGACTGGTGCTTGTTTTTTTTATATTTGTTATTTGATTTACTTACTTGAATGTGGTATCATTTTATTTTAGTATTTTTTTTCTAATCAGTATAAAACATAGTATAGACAGTATAAATGTTTTTGTTTCTGTTTTTTACTTATACAAAACTTAAAAAAAATAAAAAAAAGCAGAAGCTGGTAAAAACAGCAATACACTTCAATAAAAACAACAATATAGAGCCATGATAACAACAGTAAAACTTTCCAAGAAAGAAGCAATTCAGTACATCCTGGAACCGCCATAAGGGAATATTAGATGCACTTGAAAAAACATGAGTCTTTAACAGCGAGTGGGTGCTATTCTGATTTTTAATGGTAACTTAATCCATAGTTTCAAACCCACAACTGCAAAGGCTCATCGGCCCTGCATTTGAGACGAGATCGGGGTGTTTGCAATAGATTGCAGTCGGGATTTGATCTAAGCGATCGGGTTTGGGTTATTAGTAATCAGATCAGAAAGAGACGGTGGTGCTAGGTTGTACAAAGTTTTATAAACAAAGAGTAGAATTTTCTAATCTATTAGGAAATGAACCGGAAACCAATGTAGTGATCGCAATATTTAATATATTGTCACGGGGGGGCACGCATCAAATGTTATTATATTAGTTAATGGTATTTTGTGATTATTAGTGTCCATGTATTTCCCAGAGATGGGTTGCAGCTGGAAGGGCATCCACTGAGTAAAAACTTGCTGGATAAGTTGACGGTTCATTCCGCTGTGGCGACCCTGGATTAATAAAGGGACTAAGCCGACAAGAAAATGAATGAATGAATGAATAGTGTCCATGTAAATGTGGTCAATGACTTGCCTAATTACCCTAACTTTACCCTGATATGCCTATTTAAGTCTTTAAATGTCACTTTAAGCTGAATACTAGTGTCTTGAAGAATATCTAGTCAAACATTAATGACTGTCATCATGACAAAGAGAAAATAAATCAGTTTTTAGAAATTATTAAAGTTATTAAATAGTTATTAAAACTATTATGATTAGAAATGTGTTGAGAAAAATCTGCTCTCTGTTATACTGAAATTGGAGGAATAAACATATAGGAGGCCTAATAATTCAGACTTCAACTGTATGCTTGTGTGTGTCTGTATATGTATGGCTGAAGACACCTCTCTGGAGTAGGAAGTGCTGGGCAGAGGAAGACACACACACACTTCCTGTGCGCTGTGGTCATTGTGTCAGTGTGCTGGATGCTCTGAAGTAGGACAGGAACTTGAAGCAGAGGCTCACCACGAAATACCAGATGTTACGAGCCATCTGAGAGCGGGCGATGAACACACGCCAGATGAAGACCAGCAGCACCGTGTTGAAGGTGTAGCGGATGTTCCTCAGTCTGCAAACACACACACACAGACACACACCATCAACAATGCACATCTGATCACACACACACACTACCAATAATGCACATCTGATCACACACACACAAACACACACACACACACACACTACCAATAATGCACATCTGATCAAACACACACAGGCACACACCAATAGTGCACATCTGATCACACACATACACACCATCATTAATGAAAATCTAATCAAACACACACATACCATCGCACACACGCCATCAATAATGCACGTATAATCAAACACACCACACATACACACTCCATCAATAATGCACATTTAATCTAACACACACACACCATCAATAATGCACATCTAATCTAACACGCAGTCACACACACATCATTAATAATGCACATCTAACCAAACGTACACACACACCCTATCAGTAATACACATCTGATCAAACACACACACGATTAATAATGCACATTAGATCAAACACACACACAATTAATAATGCACAACTGTTCAAACACACACACACATAATAAATAATGCACATCTGTTCAAACACACACACACCACCAATATTGCACATTAGATCAAAACACACACACACACACAAAATTATTAATGCACATTAGAACAAATACACACAAACACACATACACACACACACACACACACACAATTAATAATGCTCATTAATTCAAACATGCGCGCACACACACACACACACACAGACAGACACAGACACACACACACACACACACACACGATTAATAATGTACATCTGATCAAACACACACACATAACAGATAATGCACATCTGTTCAAACACACACACACCACCAATATTGCACATTAGATCAAACACACACACACAAAATTATTAATGCACATTAGATCAAAAACACACACACACAAACACACACACGATTAATAATGCTCATTAATTCAAACGTGCACACACACACACACACACACACGATTAATAATGCTCATTAATTCAAATGTGCACGCACACACACACACGATTAATAATGTAAATCTGATCAAACACACACACATGATCAATAATGCACATTAGATCAAACACATCCACACAATTAATAAAGCACAATTGATCAGACACACACACATACACACACTCACACCCAAAATTAATGATGCATATCTAATCAAACACACACACCATCAATAATGCGCATCTAATCAAACACACACACACACACACACACACACACACACACACACACACACACACACACACACACACAATCAAAAATGTACATTTGAACAAACACACACGCACATATCACTAATAATGCACATCAAATCAAACAAACCCACACACACACACACATACACACACACACAAACCATCAATAATGCACATCTGATCAAACACACACGCACATATCACTAATAATGCACATCTAATCAAACAAACCCACACACACACACACATACACACACACACAAACCATCAATAATGCACATCTGATCAAACACACACGCACATATCACTAATAATGCACATCTAATCAAACAAACCCACACACACACACATATACACACACACAAACCATCAATAATGCACATCTGATCAAACACACACGCACATATCACTAATAATGCACATCTAATCAAACAAACCCACACACACACACATATACACACACACACAAACCATCAATAATGCACATCTGATCAAACACACACGCACATATCACTAATAATGCACATCTAATCAAACAAACCCCCACACACACACACACACGCGCACACACACACACCATCAATAATGCACATCTGATAAAACACACATACTGGATTTATGATTCAGGGGTTCGATGATTCAGTAGCTCAGCGATTCAGTTGCTCAGCGATTCAATGGTTTAGTGATTCAGTAGTTCAGTGAATCAATGGTTCAGCTTTAGCTATGTTTGTGAATGCCAAATGTCATGAAGTAGTTCAGTGATTCAGCAGTTCAGTGAATCAGTGGTTCAGTGAATCAACTAGTTCAGTGATTCAGAAGATCATCAGATAGACATACTTCCTCAAGTGTTGTCTGGCGGCAGGAATGTCGGACATGTCTTCATTCAGAACGTATTTCTTGGTGCCGATACAGTAATTCTCGATGTACTCAGGCCAGTTCAGCTGACGAACGTCAAAGTTGAAGATCTGAAACATCACAAGAGTCAGCACAGTGATTCGTCTGCTGTGTGTGGAGAAATATATGTGTGTGGTTGTGTGTGTGAGATTGAGAACCCTATAGACTGTATTAGTCTGCACTAGATTAGCTACATTTATGAGGGCCAAATATCACGAATATAGTGAAATATCATGACTACCATACACATTTTCACAACATGTTTTAGTTTAGCATGTTTCTGTAAGGGTCAGGCCACAAAATATCATGAACATCTTTCATATCATTAGCCTGAGGTATAAAAATTATAGAAATCTAATACATTTTCCCAGGATAGTAAAATTAGTGTGTGTTTGTGTGTGTACCTTCCTGTCGTCGGTGCTCAGCTGAGCCATCAGCATGTTCATGTTATCCGAGTTCCACTCCCAGTCCTGACTGCTGAAATACTCCAGCAGACCAATGGCTTTATGCAGACGGTTGAAAATACGCATCATTCTGAAGAAGAAGAAAAAACCACACACACACACACACACACACACACACACACACACACACACACACACACACACACACACACACACACACACACACACACACACACACACACACAAACTGATAATTACACTTACACAATACACTTACACAATCTTACACAATATTTTTCTACAGAAGAGAGAAAAAATTACTAAAGAGAGAAAAAATTACTAAAGAGAGAAAAAAATTACTATTAATCAAATAAAATACGTACTTTCTAATATTACACAATAAATGATCTATATTTGTATTTTCATATTATTATGGTTAGGCATATTACATATATTTATACTATATATTTTAATAGTGTGATTGCATTACATAGTATAAACAAGATAAAACATTTGTATATTAACAATACAACTTTTCACATTTAAACTTTTCTAGATTTATATAAACAAAATTCCGCATATAATATTATATAAATAATAATATAATATAATATAAATAAATATAATAAAATATAATATAATAATATAATATAATATAATATAATATAAATACAATATAATATAATATAATATAATATAATATAATATAAATTAATATAATATAATAAATTATAAATAATATAATAATATAATATAAAGTAACAATAATATAATACCATATAAATAATAATATAATATAATATAAAAATAATATAAGATAATCTAAATGAAAATAATCTAAATAATAATATAATATAAATTAATATAATAAAATATAATATATTATAATATAATATAAATAATAATATAATACAATAATATAATATAAATATAATATAATATAAATTAATATAACATAATAAATTATATATAATATAACAATATAATATAATATAAATACACTATAATATAATATAAATTAATATAATACCATATAAATAATAATATAATATAATTTAAAGTAACAATAATATAATACCATATAAATAATAATATAATATAAATTAATATAATATAATATAAATTAATATAATATAATATAATAAATCATATATAATATAACAATATAATATAATATAACATAATATAAATAATAATACAATATAATATAAATATATTTAAATTACATTTTCACAAATTATGGAGACATGGAAAATGTGCAGAGCTGGTGGTCCTCCAGAAACGTGGTTGACAAACACTGGTGTAGAGTGAGTCTATATGAAGTGTATATGTGTGTGTTGTTGTCTCACTGTGGTTTGTGTCCGGAGAGCCGCAGCAGCAGGTCATACAGCAGCGCCGGGACTTTGTGACTGACGAGGATCCAGTACTGGTAGATCAGGTAGTTTGAGGTGATGTTTGCGTTTGGCCGACGGAAGGCTTGTTCAAGAGGATTCCTCTTAAATGTTGACATCACGTGATGCTCTGCAGAAGGAAACACACACACACACATACACACACACAGGAGGAGGGTCATCACACTGATTTCAGTCTGAGGTTTTACTGCCATCATGTGGCAGAGAACGGAAGAACTGAGAGTTTTATTTCATGAAAGTTACTTCTATAATGTAATAATAATATAATGTAATAAACAACATCAATAATTATAATTGTTACTAATAAGAATATTGAATAAACTATATTTTGTATTTATTTTTATAATATATTAGCTATCATTGTGTTTTCAATATATTAATATTGAGCTGTATACATTTGTTTGCTTTAAGGAAATGTGCAAGTACACTAAACAATGCTGGGACTTTGCAAACAACATTAGGTTAATATAGACAAGTAGAATATTGGCTTAATTTATTCGTGGGTATATGTGTGTGTGTGTGTGTGCGTGAGAGAGAGTGTGCATGTGTGATTTTGTGTGTGTATATGCGAGAGTTCTTGTGTGTATGCAAGCTTGTGAAAGTGTGTTTGTGTATGTCTATGTGTGTGAGCGTGTGTGCGTGTGGTGTGTGTGACGCACCGATCTCCCCCCAGTGGAAGGGGTTTATTCCTCCAGTTGTGCAGTTGTACACCAGGGCAGTTTTAGGTCTGAAAGTGAAGACAGAAGCAGTGAATTCTTCTTTTATAACCTGTTTTAATCATTTTATTGTTTGTTTTTTATGTGTTTAAACTTGTCTTTTTTTATTCTTGTTTATGTAAAGCAATTTGAATTGCCACTGTGTATGAAATGTGCTATATAAATAAACTTGCCTTGGCTTTAATGTGTGTGTGTTGTCGAGCCTGATGTAAATGTGTGTGTGTGTGTGAATGTCCTGTACTTGTTAACAGCGGTGTACCAGCCGGCTGCCAGCGTCAGGTTGATCACCACATCAACAGGAATCAGATCAGCCACTGCGTCATTACTGGCCCGCATGGTGCGCAGGATACCCTTCCCAGCCTGACCACACACACACACATACACAGACACATACACAGACACAGACACAGACACAGACACACACACAGACACACACACACACACACACACACACACACACACACACACACATTTTATCATCATTTCATTTCAGTTAAAATTAAAATATCTTAAAAATCCACTACTTGAACATTTATCTCAAGTTTCAAAACTTTAGATACAATTAAAGCCTTTAAAAACTACAGAAATGAAGGAAACAAGAGAGAAAATGGTTTAAAATGAGAAAAAAGAAGCAAAAAGAAAAAAGAATAAGCGAAAAAGGTGAAAAAAGAAAGGAAATTAAGCAAAAAAAGAGGCTTTGAGCAAAAATATACAATTAAATGCTTCATATACAATGACATAAAGATAAAAACGAAGATTCTAGCAATGCTTTTAATTTAAATCAGATCTTAGAAATTAGAGCAAAGAAATGAATCAAATACTTACAGCAATGAAAACACCACTCGGCCCATTGAAGTTATCTATCCAACCCTACAGAAAACAGAAAAAAGTGCAATTAATAAAAGGTTCATAAGCATAAAATAAAATAATTATAACACTTAAAAAAAGACTACTATTTTAATAACTAAAAACACAATAAGTCTATAGCTATAACATTACCAACCAACTACAAAGATTTTGCAAACATGCTTCCATTAATTAATGCAATTTAAATTCAAAATATTAATTAAAAATAACAAAAAAAACTTGTTTTTATAACTTTTCCTTAATAAACAGGGAACATGTGTGCCAATAAATAACCTAAACTAAATTATAATAATAAAAATAATTAGCAAAGGATGAAAATACGAAGTAATTATAATAACTGCAGCACAAAACTAACTATAAAAACATGCTTTAAATAAATATATCAAGTAAAAAATTGTATATAGCAAAAAAAAAAAATTATATATATATATATATATATATATATATATATATATATATATATATATATATATATATATATATATATATATATAAAGTTTTATATCATGATAGTTCTTCAAATAAATACATCTTAATTAAAATAAAATGTAGACTAGGGTAAATTAAATATAGCTCACGCTTTAAAATAAAGATTAATTAGGTAATGTATTGACTAACATGAACTAATAATGAACAATCATGTACAGCATTTATTAATCACAGTTCAACACTTACTAGTGCATTATTAAAACACACATTCACGCTTGTTGACATTAGTTAATGCACCATGAACTAACATAAAATGACTGTATTTTCATTAATTAACATTAAAAAACATAAATACCGTAATTAATGTATAGCTGATGGTTTGTTTATGTTATTAAATACATTAACTATAGAAAAAGTTAATGTATTCAGCACACTGCCACTTTAGCTCTCAAAAGACCAATTTAATTGGTGCAGGTTTTTTGACTTTTATATAGCACACTTCATACACAATGGTAAATCAAAGTGCTTTACACAAACAACAATAAAAGAAACAAGTATAAGAAATAAAAACAACCTATTTTAATGAGTAATGGAGTTTTTTGACTTGAGATTTGACTTGGTTTGATGGCCATCATAAGATTTTCCTAGATGTGCACACACTGCTGTTTTCCTTTCTATGTTAAATACATGAACTAACGCAAGCTTCTTGTAAAGTGAATGATGATGAAATGTAAGTATATTGACTGACGGGGAAGGGCTCCTGCCAGCTGGCTCCCACTATGGAGGGTCGAACGATGCCCACGTTGAGTTTTGCGCTTTCCTGCTGCACCACGCACTCGGCCAGAGCTTTGGTGTAGGTGTAGGTGTTCGGCCAATCACCGATCAGACGCGGCGTGATGTCACGAATAATACTTTCATCCATCCACCTGCACACACACACACAACAGGTCAGGATAGTGTCTCAGGCAAAACACAAACACCACGGATGCCTTAATAAGAATAAAAATCATAGAATACATGGCAAAGAGCAAGTAAAAATTCATAAAGATTTAAAAATTAATGCGTCACACTTTACAATAAGGGTTTCATTAGTTAATGTATTTACTAACAATACTTTACAGCATTAATTAACCACAGTTCAACATTTACTAATGCATTATTAACATCCAATTTCATTCATTCATTTTCTTGTCAGCTTAGTCCCTTTATTAATCCAGGGTCGCCACAGCGGAGTGAACCGCCAACTTATCCAGCAAGTTTTTACACAGCGGATGCCCTTCCAGCCACAACCCTTCTCTGGGAACATCCAATTTCATGCTTGCTAAAATTAGTTAATGCATTAGTTTTGTAGTTAATGTATTTTCATGAACTAATGGTAACTAACAAGATCAAAAACTGTGATAAATGCAGTGTTCATTGTTTATTCACGGTAATAAATGCATTATCTAACATGAACTAATGCAATCTTATTGTAAAGTGTTACCAATTAATGAAATACTTAAGTTAATAATATTAAATATAAATAAAACTATATAATAAATAAATATTCTATGCGTGTATATATGTATATATAATAAAATAAGATTTTTTAAATAAAAAAGTCATAAAATAAATATTTATATTTATAAATATAAGCATAATAAAATTAAGTATAATAAAATTAAAATTAAGTATAATAAAAACTTAAAACTTAAATTACATTTATAAATTTTGAAGACACTTATTCGAGGTGAGCAGAAATATATAGATGTCATTACAAGACTAGTTTGATTATATTTATTTTTTTAAATTCATTATTTAATTTCACTCCTTATCGATTGACCATGTTTGTTAGAAAAGATGCAAATAGAGAGTAAAATTAATCAAACTGAAACGTTTGCTGTACTGACTCGAGGGAGTCGATGAGTTTTCTGGGCTCGACGGGTGGTGGGTAGATGAGCTCGTCGATGTGTCTGCGGTTGCAGTTCGCGTATGCGGTGGAGATGTGGATGAAGGCCTGAAGCTGCTGCATCTGCTGCGCCAGAGAGAGGAGCTGCTGCGTCGCCATCACATTCAGCTGAAGAGCGTGCCTGCAGAACACACACGCACACACACACATACACACGTAAATATTACACGTGTAAATTAACACATAAAAATACATAATTCTATACATATATACATATACAATATACATTACCAAACTGGAGTCAGTGTAATAAAATAAAATAATAATAATGATAATAATAATAATAATAATAATAAAATAAATGAAATGCATAAATAAATAAATTAATTAAATATTATTTTATTATTAATAAAAACAAAATAAAGAAAAAAATGAAGAAAATGTGATTTTTTTAATCAAAATTAAAAATAAATAAATAAAACAAAATAGAGTAAAAAAATTATGAAAATGCGAAACAAAATTAAAAATAAATAAATAAATAAAACAAAATAAAGTAAAAAATGATGAAAATGCGAAACAAATTTAAATCAAAATTAAAAATAAATAAATAAATAAATAAAACAAAATAGAGTAAAAAAATGATGAAAATGCGAAACAAATTTAAATCAAAATTAAAAATAAATAAATAAATAAAACAAAATAGAGTAAAAAAATGATGAAAATGCGAAACAAATTTAAATCAAAATTAAAAATAAATGAATAAATAAATAAAACAAAATAAAGAATAAAAAAATGATGAAAATGCTAAATAAATTTAAATCAAAATTAAAAATAAATAAATAAAACAAAATAAAGAATAAAAAAAATTATGAAAATGGGAAACAAATTTAAATCAAAATTAAAAATAAATAAAGAAAAGAAAATAAAGAATAAAAAATTATGAAAATGCGAAACAAATTTAAATCAAAATTAAAAATAAATAAATAAATAAAACAAATAAAGAATGAAAAAAATGATGAAAATGGGAATTTTTTTAATCAAAATTTAAAATAAATAAATAAATTATATTAATAATAATAATAATAATAATAACAGAATTAAATAGCAACATATACATATATTAAAACACAAAAATGCAATAATATACATATACTATATACATTACCAAACTCGAGTTAGTGTAACAAACCAAAATAATGGTACATTAATGGTATATAAAATTAACTAAATCCAAAGAAACAGTGGAGTGAGAAGAGGACTAATGTAATGCTGAGATCTGAAAGGTCTGTCTGAACAGATGTGTGTGTGTTTCTCCCATCATTCCTTCACTCCTGCAGTGTTATGAACATCTGCTCCTCAGCCGGAGCTTCAGCTCGCCTCAATGACATTTCACTTCATTATTCTCATATGGAGAGAATTTTAATAACTCATTTCTAAAAACTGATTTATTTTATCTTTGCCATGATGACAGTACATAATATTTGACTAGATATACTTCAAGACACTAGTATTCAGCTCAAATAGACACTTAAAGACTTCACTAGATTAATCAGGGTAAAGTTAGGGTAATTAGGCAAGTCATTGTATAACTGTGGTTTGTTCTGGAGACAATCCAAAACTTATATAGCTTAAGGGGGCTAATAATAATGGCCTTAAAATGGTTTTAAAAAGATTAATAACTACTTTTATTCTAGCCGAAATAAAACAAAAAAAGACTTTCTCCAGAAGAAAAAATATTAGAGGAAACACTGATAAATTCCTGAATCTGTTCAACATCATTTGGTGAATATTGGAAAGAATAAATATTTCCCAGCAGTGTGGATAACTTTGACTTGTCTGTGTCGGTCACTCACTTGAGCGGCTCGTCGAAGCGTATGGTGGCGGCGCAGTGGAAGACGATGTGCACACGGGAAGTGAGTGTTTCTACATCTTGTGCACTGATGGCCAGACCGGGCTGCATTAATTCACTGCTGATGGCGATGATCTTCTGATGAAACTCTGGATTATCTTCACGCACGCGGTCAAACAGCTGCACACACAGAAAACACACATCCACACTCATTACACTCGCTGCTGAGTCTGCATATTACACAGCATTACTTGTGCAGTAGTTAACATGATCAATCAAGTAAGATTTACTAGAGCATTTCAATACAATGAAAGGGGATTATGTTGTATTAATTGAGAGCACTGTGAATATCTAATAAAGAAGATAAATGCATTAAAAACAACACTACAGTAAGGGTAATTTGAATTAACACCTAATAACAAAAAAATGTAACAAACAAAATATAAAAAAAAATAAAACAATTAAAAAAATAAATAAAATATTAAATAAATGATACAATAAATAAAGAAATAAAATTACAATAAGCAAATATAGAACATTCCCAAGGGACATTAAACTAACAGGAAGTTGTGCAGCAAGTATATGTATTTTCAATAAATAAATTGAACAACACATAAAAGTAAATAAAGAAATAAAACACCAAATAAATAAATAACTAAATGAATGAATAAACAAATAATTAAACACATACATAAACAAAAAAAAAACAGATAAAAATTACAATAAATAAATAAACAAACAAACAAATAAACAGACAAACAAATAATTAACAGTACAGTTTTAAGAGACATTAAAATAATTGGAGCAAATGTATTTAATTTTCAATAAATGAATGTAATAAAATAAATGACTAAATAAAAAAAACACTAAATAATAATAATAATAATAATAATAATAAGCGTAATAAAATAAATAAGCATAATAAAATACACATATTTTTCAAAACTTAATATGAATCCCCACTCATGATAGCTAAAATTATTGTTAGTTAAAAACCAGTCAATTAAAATTACAATCTCAATATACATTAAAATAAAGAAGAATTGGGAAATGCATGCACCTAATTAAAAACACATGCTAACTTAAATATTCCATATTAATAAAAACATGATATGATTCACCACTGACAATATTAAGAATTATGTTTCTGTTGTGATGATTCAAATAATAAATATCAACACACAACAGTATGCATATAATTACACAAAAATGTCCTAATAAATAAATAATAAATAAAAAATAAAAAATATAAATAATAAAAAACACGTTTAACTGAAAAACATATACAGTAACACAATATAAACATTATTCTAAATCAGGGGTTTTCATAGTCTAAGACAGTGGGCCTCCCTTTTGACACAACTTATCCATTGGCGCCCCCCACCTCCCAAACACACACACACAAATATATATATATATATATATATATATATATATATATATATATATATATACAGTATAAATAAAGACACAGACAGATTTCAGACTGTTAACTCACTTTTATCATCATTTGCATGAAAGTGCAATTATTTACAGAGTAATAAGTATTTTAATATGACGTTTTTAAAACTAGGATGATGGTTCAATATGAATAGAACAGATCCAAGAACTGTTCATCCCAGTCAAAACAGTCGAAGTTTAGCGGGTCTCATGCTGTCATTAGCCAAAATATCTTGACAAACCACACTTAAAGAGCCCATATTATGGGTTTTTGAAAATTCCCCTCCATGTAGTGTGTAACACAGCTCTAAGTGAAGTGAAGTATCCAGCTAAGGCTTAAATCTGTAAGAATACAGTGTTTAAAACTGTTGATTCATCTATAAAAGAGTCGACTCATAGTGCTTCGAACGAGTCGCCTTGATACCGACTCATTAGGTGTTTCGCCATGACGTACGAACGAAACCAAGTTATTCACGTGCACGCGCAAACCCGGGAGATTTCAAACCTGAGGCCCCGCCCTCTGACGCAGAAACCCAGACACACACACATACCCACAAACACACGCACACCCACAAACACACGCACACAAACATGCCGGTCGATTGAAGTCACACTGCAGATGGATATATTGAGTCTCTACCCAAAGATGAAACCTCAGCATTATAACCAAGCAGTTGGAAACTTCTGGAAGCTACATGCTACAAAGAATACTTCATCTGAGTTTGTTAAAGGAAGGATCAGTAAAGAGTAACTGATGGACGTCAGGATGGGTTTCTTCCATTTCTCAAGTGTAAGTACGTGCGGTTAAAGTTGTTGCCTCGTTGACTCTAGCTTGCAAATGTATTTAGTTGTGATTTGTTACTTGTAACCGCGTGTACTGTATCAGGTTAACTGGATATATTATCTTATCGCGTGCAAAGTCACGTTAAAAACGCGACGCGTGCTGTTTGTTTATGGAGCTCCATGCTAGAGTTCTGCTCCCGCGATTTATTCGGAAATTTATTCCCGCGCCGCAGAAATCTGGCGCGGGGACAGCCGCGGGAATAAATTTCCGAATAAATCGCGGGAGCGGTCGGTAACGGGTTTAATTTGGGACGGGAGCGGGCTGTCTAGCAATATCACGGATATTGCTATGCGAATTAGAAAGAGAGAGTCTGCTTGGTATGAGAGAGCGTATGAGAGAGAGCGAGAGAGAGCGAACGAACGAACGAACGAGCTCTGTGTGCTTTGTGCTGTGTGTATGTGTCTATACAGACAGCTTGGCTGTCTGGACTGTATACTGGGTGATTTTGGGTTGTGTTCTCCGCTCTAGCGGGACCGGGCGCGGCGGGCAGAAAACGGAGCGGGTTCTCAGGCTAAAACCTGGCGGGTGCGGGCGGAAGCGGGAGCGTTGTCATCCGGAGGTGTGTGTGTGTTTTTGTGTGTGTGTGGTATGGCGAGTACACGACTGTCTCCTTCGTTCGGTTATCCGTGGCACTATCCACTCGCCATAGTGTGGCAGCTAAAATTCACGCCTACACTATCGAGCGTGTATGAACTGTGATTACTTTTTAAATTGCTGATTAGCTATTGGCCATTTCCCTCTCTGACTGAAGGCAGTCGACCAATCGCGACAGACTGTCATTGGTCCAATCAGCGCAGATTAGCTTCGCGCTAAGGAGGGGTTTGGGAACAAATGAATCACTGGACGATTCATACAGGAGTCGCTGGGATAATTAGGTAAAAATAAATGCAGATTATAAGACCATGAAAGTGTTTTTTGACCTTGCATGCATATTAGACTGTTGTTGGAGACCCTTACAACCAAGATATGACCCTATTTCATGTATAATATGGGCTCTTTAAAGGTTGTGGTTCATGAGCTGGTCCTGTCCACGTAAATCCTAAACTCAAATGCTGATAATCATATCGTCGTCTTTTGGGTTTAAGCCCTGAACTTGAAGGCTTTGAATTGGGGGGTCTCAGAAACCGATCCATTGTATTAGCAGGCATATACCTGTATTGGCAGGCTTGCCAAACAGAAGTGAATTCACAGCTATGGCCTTCTGGGTTAAAAAGTTTTTCTTATTTTTGACGTATTATTTTTTTTTAGCTTTGTTTAATTAAAACGTTTAAATATAATAAAAAATACATATAATAATTAAACTTAATAATTATATTTTTATTATATAATATTTTCCCGCGCCTCCCCTGACATGCTCTGGCGCCCCCCAGAGGAGGCGCGCCTCACACTTTGAAAACCCCTGTTCTAAATCATTTAATGTAATTTAAGTAACATTTATTTAACTTTTATAAATATGTTATGAATTATATAAACAATGTGCAAAATATAAATATAATATTATTAAAATATAATGTTATGAATTATATATTATAAATATATTGTACACAATTTAAATATAATTATTAATATAATATTACTAAATTATAAATATAATATTATGAATTATATTTCCCTAAAACAGCCGCATCATTTTTACTACAAATAAAAGTATGATTTCTTTCTCTGGTCATGTGATCTGTAGATGTTTTCCTGACAGTGCACCCTTTGCGGGGATATTATGTAATTTTCTGTTGGCCAAACGGCAAAATGCAAATGACAAATCTCATCATATTATGTCACCAACTCTGATGTTTATGTAATGAATAAAAACAGCAGCCTTGATGAAAACCTTATATTTACAGCCAGCATTAAAGCGGACGGACGGCGGACTACACTCAACATACATTCTCCAGTCATTTCTGTCAGCGTAATCTGATATGAAAAGAGGATTTGCAGATCTCTGTGTCTCTCGGCTCTGTGGCCGCACACACACGTGCTGACTTATGCTACCCACAATTCCAAGTGGCAGATTGCAAGCGCCGCAGCCAATCAGAGTGAAGTGTATGTGTGTGCAAGAGAGAGAGGGGTGAACCAGAGTGACCCGCCAGCGGGCACCTGCTGAGGGCACACAGATGAGGACAGCTGTAGAGCCACACACACACACACACACATAACCATGCACACCCTCGTGCACACACACACATGCATGTACATACACACACATATTCATTCACTCACTTTCACACAGTCAAAGTAAATGAGCTGGCAGATCTGCTCTTATTGTTTTGAAAGGTAAATGATATTAATGTGTGCTTACTACATATGACACTGCATTTATTTTCCCTCGTCTTTTGAAAGAATTATAAAATGTACACATAAAAATGGCAGAACAGCACCAATCAGTGATCATCACTATGAATGAGAAAGACCAATCAGCATGCAATATGCAAATAAGCACCAGAGGGAGACTAACTGCAAATAACATCTACATTTTATATTCAGTTGTTCCATAAAGAACTTTCAAAACACACTTCTTTGAGAACACACCTTTTTAGATCACGCTTCTTTTTGAACACTCCTTTTTAGAACACTTTTTAGAACACACTTCTTTTAGAACACACATCTTGTTGAACGCTTTTTAGAACACTCCCTTTTAGAACACTCCTTTTTAGAGCACTCCTTTTAAAACACTTCTTTTTAGAACACATTCCCTTTTAGAACACTTTTTAGAACACTCATTTTTAAAACACACTCCCTTTTAGAACACTCATTTTTAGAACACCCCCTTTTAGAACACTTTTTAGAACAGTCCTTTCAGAACATTCCTCTTTAGAAAACTTTTTAGAACACTCTCCTTTAGAGCACTCATCTTTAAAACACTTTTTAGAACACTCCCCTTTAGAGCACTCATCTTTAGAACACTTTTTAGAACACTCCCCTTTAGAGCACTCCTCTTTAGAACACTTTTTAGAACACTCCACTTTAGAACACTTTTTAGAACATTTTTTGGAACACTTTTTTATGACACACTCCTTTTTAGAACACTTTTTAGATTTTTTTTTAGAACACTCCTTTTTAGAACACTTTTTAGATTTTTTTTAGAACACTCCTTTTTAGAACACTTTTTTTATAACACACTCCTTTTTAGAACACTTTTTAGATTTTTTTTTAGAACACTCCTTTTTAGAACACTTTTTTATAACACACTCATTTTTAGAACACTTTTTTATAACACACTCCTTTTTAGAACACTTTAGAATCCTTCTATTTAGAACACACTCCTTTTAGCAAACTCCTTTTAGAACACTCCTTTTAGAACCTTTCCTTAAACTGTCTTTTTTTTGTATCATATTTATTTATTCTTTATTTATTTTTGTAATTGTTTTTACTTTATTTTTATTATATTCATATATTAAACTGAGCAGCTGTATTACACACATCTCAGGAAGTGCACAGTTGTCCAGGAATTTCAGGGGAGTTTTCTGTGAGCACATTCTGAGCTGGAAAATTCTGCTATCATGTCAGGACATGGACTGATTTAATTTGCTTTCACAACGTCTTCATGCACTCAAGATTTTCCCAAGAAGGTGTGAGACACACACACACACATCGCCAGGGCTTTTTAACTCAGCATATAATCCACATTTGTACATGATAACATTACTAACGTTATCTTGCTAACTGTCTTGTCTTTTACATTCAAAACGTATTCAAATATAGAAGAAATGGCATTCAATGGCATTTAATATAAAAATCAATTGGTGAACGTTCCCTGTGTCCTCGCACATTTACACATGCAAATATGACAGCAATAAAGCTCAATATTGAATGCAAAACTGCCATTAAGACAGATTACTGGAGATCAGACAACATATGGAGCAAGAGTGCAGTCTAGCCAACACACACACACACACACCACATGCTCATACAAACACACACAGAAAGCTCAGATGAAGATGAGAGTTAGAAGAAAATCCCTGCGCTGAAGAATGCGGATCAGGAAGAATGTGAAAGTGTGTGAGAAATGCAGAGAATGAAGGAAAGCAGAGCTGCATCATCATCATCACACACACACACACACACACACACACACACTTCCTGCTGCGGTTTAAGTCGCTGGGCAACAAAAACACAAACACACCCTCATGGCGGAGGATGAAAACCTCCATATGCTGCTGCAACACACACACACACACTGACTCAATACACACACAGACAGACTCGTCAACACACACACAGACAGACACAGACTTAAACACACACACTGACTTCAAGTGGTCACGTAAATAAACACCTTCACTAATATTAACTAATGGAACCTGATTACACGTTACCCTATTTTATTCCTCCTTTCAAGTTTTCCTCCTCAAGCCGCAGGTGATATTGTCTTTCACCACCATCATTTTTGAAGCATAAAATTCCTGCCTTTGTGATGGCATGACATTGGATCGCATCCTAGCGCTCGGTCAAACCAGCAGGACGTGTTTTAAAGAGTTTATTTCCAGAGAATCCACACAGATGAGCTCCAGGTTTGATTGTTTTCAGTAAACCTGATCTCTCTCTCTCTCTCTCTCTCTCTCTACCTCAGGCTGCTCTGGAAAACACTCCTTAATTGTCACCATGGCAACCGACCACAAACCACATCGATAAAAGAGCGAGTTCAGAAGTCAAAAACTGCATTTCCATATATGATGGCCCCTGCGTTCAGTCAGCATCACCTCGAGAGCTTCATCATGTTCACTCATCAGTCTATAAAAAGCACCGACGCTCCATGAACACTGATGGAAAACTCATCATCACTGCGGTTTTATTTGCCTGTGTCTAGGTATGGGATGATAACCGTTTCTAAGGTATACCGCAGTTTGGTCAAGGTTTTAAAACCGCCAAAATGTTCTGTGAGACCGTTCCTAAGGTACAGTTGAAGTCAGAATTATTAGCTCCCTTCGAATTTTTATTTTCGTTTTTAATTATTTCCCAAATGGTGTTCAACAGTGCAAGAACATTTTTAGTACGTCTGATAATATTTTTTCTTTTGGAGAAAGTCTTGTTTGTTTTATTTCGGCTAGAATAAAAGCAGTTTTGATTTTTTTTAAACACCATTTTAAGGACAAAATTATTAGCCTATATTTTTTTTCGATAATCTACAGAACAAACCATCATTATACAATAACTTGCCTAATTACCCTAACCTGCCTAGTTAACCTAATTAACCTAGTGAAGCCTTTAAATGTCATTTTAAGCTGTATAGAAGTGTCTTGAAGAATATCTAGTCTAATATTATTTACTGTCATCATGGCAAAGATAAAATAAATCAATTACTAGAAATATTTTTAGTTATTAGAATAATAGTTATTAAAACTATTATGTTTAGAAATGTGATGAAGAAATCTGCTTTCCGTTAAATGGAAAATTAAAGTAAAAAAAAAAACAGGGAGGCGAATAATTCAGGGGGGGGCGAATAATTCAACTGTATGTGTAAGATTTTAATTTTTGTTAACAGTATCTCCAGCAGAAAAGATCTCCAAAAATGCCATTTAAATTGTAAGGAAATCTGTGTTTAAAAAAATAAATAAATTAAGACAGCAGAAGTCAGTGATTCATTTAAATGATTTAGCCTAACATGTTTACTGCTCCGAAATATTATAAATGTCTCCAAAAATAAAATATATTGCTTTCAAAGGAGAAAAAAGTTGTTGTTTTTTTACCCAGACATTAAAATATATATATATATATATTAGAGTAATCACAATACCGTGATACAGTGAAACCGTGATATTTATATCCAAGGTTATCATACCGTCAGAATCTTATACCGGCCCATACCTATACATGTATCTAGATGAGTTGTGTGTTTAGATTCATATTGTAAATTAGTTTTTAGTAGTGCTGCATGGGCAACCATTACACAATATTCATTTCCTTCAGCTTAGTGCCTTATTTATCAGGGGTCACCACAGTGTAATGAACTGCCAACTATTCCAGCATACGTTTTATACAGTGGATGCCCTTCCTGCAGCAACCCAATACCGCTCTCACATTCAGACATTAATACACTTGCCATATAGTTTATTCAGTTCACCCATAGCGCATTTGTTTGGCCAATGAGGAAATCTGAGCACGCAGAGGAAACTCCACACATACTTGAACCAGTGACCTTCTAGCTGTGAGGCGACAGTGCTAACTAATGAGCCAAGCAAACTTTTTTAATGCAATATGTGTGTGTGTTATATACACTACCTGACAAAAGTCTTGCCGCCTATCCAAGTTTTAGAAACAACGAATAATAACAGGACTTCTAGTTGATCATTTGGTGTCAGAAGTGGCTTATATGAAAGGCAAAGGCCTCTAGATTACACTGATTTGACCACAATAAAATATGATCATGCCTTGATTTTCAATATTGCGATATCCTGCTGGAGAATTGTCCCTCTCCTGTGGTTTGTAATGTAATGAGCAGCACAAATGTTGCCATCCACTCTGCAGATCTCTCGCATGCCCCCATACTGAATGTAACCCCAAACCACGACTTATCCTTCACCAAACTTGACTGATTTCTCTGAGAATCTTGGCTCCATGCGGGTTCCTGTAGGTCTTCTGCAGTATTAGTGATGATTGGGATGCAGCTCAAATCTACCTTCTGACACTTTTCCAAATGATCAACTAGAAGTCAAGTTATTATTTGTTGCTCTTAAACCTGGGATCCACCACAAGACTTCTGTCAGGTAGTGTGTATTTACTATACACCGTGCTGGTAGTTTTGCTGGGTATTTTACCCTCTTTTATTTGTATATGTCCTCATGCTCTACATCTTTGTGGTTTGAGCTGTATTTGACCGCCAGTTGACCGGACCTGTGCTGAACTGTTGTGAGGTCAGTTTTTATCAGACTCAGATTAGCATTATGGGTCAGACGGACAGATTCTGTCAGCGCTCCGCAAACTCTCTGACCTCAGATAGAAACTTCATTAGGTCGCATCAGGAGTCAGTGTGTGTGTGTGTGTGTGTGTGTGTGTGTGTGTGTGAGAGAGATAGAGAGAAAGAGAGAATATGAGAAAGTGTGTGTGTGTATGAGAGAGACACATAGAGAGAGAATGTGTATGTGTGTTTGAGCGAGTATGAGAGTATGTGTGTGTGTAAAGAGAGAGATTATGAGTGTGTGTTACAGAAAGCATGAGAGTATATGTGTGCATGTGAGCGAGAGTATGTGTGTGTGTGTGAGTATGTGTGTAAAGAGAGAGAGTATGTGTGTGTGTGTATTACAGAGAGTTTGAGAGTATGTGTGTGCATGAGAGAGTATGTGTATGTGTGTGTAAAGAGAGAGTATGTGTGTGTGTGTGTGTGTGTGTGTGTGTGTGTGTGTGTGCTTGCATGCATGTGTGTTGCAGAAAGTATGAGAGCATGTGTGTGCGAGAGAGATCATTTGTTTGTGTGAGAGAGAATGTGTATGCACGTGTGTGTGTGTGTGTGTTTAATGGACTGATTTAAAACTCGAGAATGTTTTTAAATGTAAATGAGTATGCGTACGTATATGTGTGTGTGTTTGTACAGTATGTGCTAGTGTGTGTGTAGGTTATACATGTCAGGAATGCTCTGAAGCTTGTGTGTGTGTGTGTGTTTGGGGGAAAGAAAAGTGAATGTGGGAAGCTATTGAATCTCAAACAAACACCTCTATTGTTTTGTGATTGAAACAGTCTTTCAGCAGGTTCTGTGCTCTCGTCTTTAATTAAATAGCTGTCAACACTGACCAGAGGCTTTAATCAAATATTAGCTGTTTATTCATAAGGATAATTAGCCAAGTCATTGGACAACAGTGTTTTTTCTGTAGCTAACTGAAAAGAAAGATTTCTTAAGGGGCTACTAATATTGACCTTAGCAGTAAAAAAAACATTTGTATTTCTATCAAACTAAACAAAATAAGAGTTTCTCCAGAAGAAAATATAATAAGAAATGCTGTGAAAATAAAACGCCTTTGGAAAATATGAAACAATTTCTTAGGAGGGCTAATAATCCTCCCTTTAACTGGGTATAACTTAACTTATTGTGATTATATCATCAGTATTATCATAATATAGATGTATATGATGTTTTCATTGTGATTTTTGTTGTGTTATTATTATGATCATGCCACTGTGGTCAGAAGCTGAACTAGAAAAACATCACATTTAATAAATACATTCTCCTTCTGCTGTTTTTATGCAGTTGAATAAATGCTCAGATCTATGTGTGTGTGTGCTGGTTTGGATGGTTCACAAGGAGACAGAAATGTGTATGATTTGATTGATTCTGTTTATTTACTTGTGCAAATGTGTATAAACTTAGATTTATTCAGATTTTTTTATTAATTTCAGTAATATTATTGACTAATATGAAGATATTCATACGATTTAATTACAATACAGTGTGTAAGTACATATATTATAAGAGTGACTTGCGTTTTTTTTTTTTTTACCAAATTAAGTGGATCTTATTGGATTTGCATTGTAAACATTAAATAAAAGTTAAAAAGGTATTACTTTTTAGCTCATATATTAAGGTTTTAGTTACAATTCTCCCAAAATAATTCAGCATAAATCTGTAGATATTTAACAAAATTCTGTGCAGAAATAGCAAAAAATGTCCGCAGACTCTGTCTGGCCCCATGTATGACTTATGTATTACACATTGGAATGGTTTATGAGGACATGTCTTATGTCCCAATGTAAATGCTTAAAAAATGCCATGTTATTAAATAAAAAAGCTAATGTATATGCATTTGTATATATAGAACGAAAAAGGTTTAAAAAAGTGTTAGGTTTAGGCCATTTAAAAAGCTGTTTTTACATGATAAACTACATTACGCCTATGGAGAGTCCTCAGTACACCATCAGTACCAATGTGTGTGTGTGTGTGCGGCAGTATGTGAATAATTCAGTCTGGTTCAGTGAGAAGCGTGATCTACAGCACTGATAAAGCAGATCTCTTTCATGAGCCTCAGGTAATTAAATTAAGTTAAATTAAAAATTGAATTAAATTAGTATATGTAGTATTTGCTCTTTCCCCAATAGTTATAACACAGCTTTACAAATGGTTCATGTTAATACATTCATTCATTCATTTTCATTTTTGTTTATCAGCGGAATGAAACACCAACTATTCCAGCATTTGTTTTACGCAGCGGATGCCTTTCCAGCTGCAACCCAGTACTGGGAAACACCTATTCACACTCGCACTCATACACTATGGCCAATTTAGTTAATTCAATTCCCCTATAGCGCATGTGTTTGGACTGTGGGGGAAACCGGAGCACACAGAGGAAACCCTACGCCAACACCGGGAGAACATGCAAACTCCACACAGAAATGCCGACTGGCCCAGCCGGGACTCGAACCAGTGACCTTCTTGCTGTGCGGCCACAGTGCTAACCACTGTGCAACGTTGCATGTTAATACATCACAGCCAAAATTAGAAAAGGAGTTGTGTATAGGGCGAACAGTATATAAACATAACCTGCAGTTATACAGCATGATGTCACCTTATGCTGAACACTAGTGTCTTGAAGAAGTCAAATATTATTTAAGTTGAACAGAAAATGGGGAAAATATATACAGGAGGGCTAATAATACTGATTTCAACAGTATGTATGTGTGTGTGTGTGTGTGTTTTGAGCACAGATCCCCCATAGGCATGGCAGCAGAGGAACTGAAGCAGTATTGTCTCTCTCTCTCTTTTACACACAATTGGATTATTTGTGCCAGAGGCGGCAGAGCTCGACTGGCACAGACATACAGTACCGCCATCCCACGATGCACCACTTGCTCTATTCACCGCGCAGAGAGCAAATGTTTACAATGGCCGACCTCAGCGAACTCCTGACCTCGATACACT